ACCCAAAGCTCATGACCATAGATGAGGGTAGGAACGTAGATCGACCGGTAAATCGAGAGCATTACCTCCCAATATTGTTTTATATATGAACTGAATTAAATCAGACTTTTATTTTGAAATATCAAGTTACCAAAACAGGATGTGTCGCCACAAGTTTGTGAAAATTACATTGATGTTGCGTGGCTGCGCTGTGTTAAAATATCAGCATATGACATATTTCCATGGGGGTGTGTGCGATATATTCATTCTGAAGCTGAATTAAAACAGTAGGCTAACTCACTAATGGTGAGCAGGTGAGTTTGTTAATAAACTTGCAGGCACAACAGTGTTAAACGACTTTTTTGAGGGAACGCAAAAGGTATTGCGAGGTAACGCAATACTTTTGTGTGGGAACACAAAAAGAAAAAAATATCCCCCATGTTCCCTCGTGGGCTCCATATGTTTTAGTACACAAAGTCAAATAATTTTACAACCTGAAAGAGAAAAATAAAGTGAAGCTGGTGACCTGTAGCCAGGAGTGTCCCAGAGCTTTGCCCACAGTGAACCTGCGTCTCACAGACACCTGCAGCAGGTTGTTGATCAGACTCACACCTGGTAAAAAACAAAAAACAAAACTAAATCAAATCCTGAGCAAAGACGCCTAACTCCAACCAGAACTGCTAATCGGACCTTGCAGTGAGATGGAGGCCCAGGGCTGGCGAGGGTACATGAAGGCAGCGTTGGTGATCTGCTGCCGGATGTCCTCGTCTTCGTTGAAGGGGAACGTCCCGCTCAGGCTGACGTACATGATGACGCCCACCGACCACATGTCCAGCGAGCGGTTGTAGCCACTGCTGCTGATCACCTCGGGTGCCAGGTAGGCCGGCGTTCCCACGACCGAGCGGCGGAACGACTTCTCGCCGATGATGCGGGAGAAGCCGAAGTCACACAGCTTCACTTGGGGGAAGGGCTCCGCCGAGACCAAGAGGACGTTCTCCGGTTTCAGGTCGCAGTGGGCGACGTGCTTCAGGTGGAGGTACCGCAGCGCCTCGAGGATCTGCGACCGCAAAACGTCAGCGTTATAAATCATCAAGACATCAAGAAAACCCAAACAGCTCGAAGCAAATCAAGGCCAGAATCCTGCACCTGCGCGACCAGGAAGCGAGCGATGCGTTCAGGCAGCCGGCCCTTCTCGCTGGACAGGATCATCTCCAGCATGTCCCCGTGGAGCTTCTCCATGACCACAAAAACATGCCGGGACGTCTCGAACATGCCTTCCAACAGAACCACGCCGGGGTGGGACAGATTCTGGACACAAACAAAAGTGTAAGAAGTTTTAGATGTCAGAGGGATGAGCATCATAAAAGCTGCAAAGAGAGAAGTGCAAGCACCTGCAGAATGCCCACTTCGTTCCTCAGCTGCCTCTCTTGTTTGGTGGGGAAGCGAGTCTTGTCGATGACTTTGATGGCGACCGATCGACCGGTCTGCCTGTGAGTGCCTGAGGGAGAAGAGTTTAATCTTATATCTACGTGAACATTTAATTACAATGTTTTACAAGTCAGGACAATAAAGTAAGTAAGTAAGTAAAGTTTTATTTATAAAGCGCCTTTCACAGAAATATAATCACAAGGTGGTGTACAATCATCAACAATGTAAAGATGGTGGAAAGATAAAGTGAAACTGAATAAAACATAAACAACATAATGAAACATCAAATCAAGAAAAACAATATTTTCTGACTTGCCTACTGGTGCGGGATTATTTTCAGCATAGTTTTGGGGATTTCTCTTAGCTACCACCACACCAAATATGGCTAAAAATGTACGAGTTATAATCAGTTATACAATGTAGCTATGGTGGCCATCTTGAATTGTTGATGCAAGTCCATTTTTCTTATTTACCACAACAACAAATTTTCGGCGCAATGTGTCTGAGTTACATTCAATTTTAAATTTTAGCTATGGCAGCCATCTTGGATTTTAATTTTGGATTGATGGGATTGTTCTCTCCTAATCATTTGAATTGGCAAGCCCCACAAAATACTAGAAATAAAGATAATTAGGAAACCGAGGTGGATAATAAAAAGTGCCCGCCCTGCTTTGACAATCAAATGAACGGAGAGCCTCTGCTCTCCTATGCATTTGAATTGGCAAACCCCAATAAATACATATATACAGAGGTTTATAGTAACTATGTACATTTACWTTGTTACAGTCCTTAAGTCGTTTTTTTCAACTGTTTTTTTTACTTTTATTTCGTTACATTTTAAAGCTAAAAATTACTTATAATTCTTTACTTTAAATTTTAACATCTAGTTACTTGTTGCAAAATTAAATCTGTCTGAACTCATCATGAAAGACGATGCTTCTGCTCTCTAAAAAATGAAGTGTTGAATTTACTCAACAAAGTCACGTCCACTGGCTCCATTAAGCCTAGCTGAGTAAATTGAGCAAAGAATATACATTTATTGCTCAATTTACTCAG